GTCAATCATATCTGTTATTATTTGGCAGAAAAGGTTCAAGTTAACTGGGCCTCTGAAGAATGAGGAGATAACATGGGAATAGGAAATGCAGAAAAAGTTTGATTTAGTGGAGAGTGATCTGAGGAAAGGTTCTGAAGCCATATAACTGAGTAATTTAGCGGCCCTAGACCTTTGTGAATGAAGAAATCAAGGTCAGGGATCATGGGAAAGGTATACTTGTATTGTAATTTGTTTAATAAAATCATTGAAGGGTGAGAAAAAATGAAGTACCCAGAGGGTGCCATAGTAGCCCCAAGTTTTGGAAATGCTTGTCAACATTCGGAAAATGTTCAGGAGTTGCTCCACTAAGTATCGATGTTGAGCCAATGGTTTTGTACCTTGCAAAAATCTACAGAAAATGCATATTTGTAATACAACTATCCCACAACCTTGGGCAAATAGTCTTTCCATCCTTATATCTATGGAAATTGTATGTTTATTAAGCTATGGTCTTCTGATCAGAAGCGGATTCAGAATTTAATTTTGGGGGAGAAGCATTTTTTTTTATAAGTTATGTTTATTACATTATATTATACCTTTTTGTAACAGTAGTTACTATGAAAGAAAAAGAAAGAAACTACATGAGGTGATGTTTAAGTTCTCTTTAATTGCTTCTTAAAAAAAAAATAATACATAAACAGTGATGCTTTCAGATACTTTTTTAGTTTTATATATATATATACATATATATGAGAAGGAGTTGGTTGAGGGATGAGGTCAAATAAATATATATTTATACATTAGAATAAAAAAAAGTGAATAAATCATTCAGAAACAAACTCAGTAATAATTTATTACAAAAATGATTCACCACCTTGTATTTAATGGCTGATATAATTCAGAATTTTATAGAGAAAAGTGTCTGGGATGGCAGTCATCAATAAAAACTTAAGATGGTGGAAGCTATTTTATTATGCCTATTTTCATCCCATTTTATTATACTTAATAAAATATTTTCCACTTTTATCTTTTACAAATAGTCAGTAACATATCATAATCAATTATTTAAAAGTATAAAATTAATAGTAAATAGTAAATTAAATAGTGAATCAATAGTAAATAATAAAGTTAATAGTAAATAGTAAATATTCATTATAAAAAGACACCACTTTTTCATTCAATGACTTAAATAATTACTGTAACTTATTTTTGATAGTTGTAAGTTTCTGTCAGTGAATTTTCTGTTAGTAAAGTTCAGTCTCATGATAGAAAGCTGCCTGTTCTTTTTGCAAGTTAACTCTTACAATATTAAAACTAGATATTGTCAAATAATATATATATATACACACAAAAAGCTTTCGGTCTGAAATCCCCCAAAATTAAATTCTGGATCCATTAGCGACCTATCTCATTCCTGGAATGAGATTTCCAGATCTGAGCTTGTGGTGGGGGACCAGGCTGGAGGTCATTCGGGAGATATTAACGTCGGTGCGAAGTATCGATTTATTTATATCGAATGAGTACTTCAACTTTTAGAAAATCGTTATAATAATAATTGCCAGGGGTATATAGTGATATGTTTAGACGGAGGTACAGAATTGGATCGAAGTACAGAAAAGAGAAAGTTGCCAAGGACGTCAATGTCCAATATTTTCGATAATTGTGTTTAGATTTCGATATATTTGAATAATAATATCTAAACAGCCATCGATATTTCTGCAAAGCTTATAAAGTGGTCCCGTTGACTCATCATGTCACTCCAAGACTCGAAGAAGTGAATGTCTGGTTCTGCCAAAATTGTGAGTTTTAAATTATCGTTTATATAATTTATTTATGTATCTTGGTTTCTTATGCTATCATATATATATATATATAATAATGATATAAATGTAATAATAATGATAATTGAAAACTTCAATTAATTGAAGTGACATTTATTAAATATACGTTAAATTCAATTAATTAAAGTTAAGTGAAAAAAATGAATTAGAGCAAAAAAAGCATAAAGTTACTTTTCTTTCAAAAAAAGAAAATTGAATGCAATTCCCGAAAACCAAAAAATAAGTTTTAATTCCAAAATGATTATTACCGATTATCAAAATTGATTAGCGTGGCATTTAGTCCGCTTTTTCGAATTTAATTTATTAAATAACTTTTTATTGTTTGTTATTCAGCTCATTATTGATACCCAGTATTCAATTGTAAATATACTTCAATAATAATTTAACATTTATTTTGTATATATTTACATGTATTTTATTGACTTAAGCCAGTCTTTTCAAGTCCATTTGAAAAACCTAAATTCATAAAGTAATAAATAAGTAGTTAATGGTTAGTATTAATATATAAAATTGATTAGTTGTTTGTTTTTTATTGATATTATTGACAATTTTTGTCACTATTAATAGTACGCAGTAACTTCAATAATTCGTAAATATGATGAAACATTAGGCGATCTTCGTTGGCCGGGCAACGGAAGTGGAAACCTATTATTACGTTATTACGTTCTTCTTCTTCTTCTTCTTCCTCGTCATCTTCTTGCAAACCCAATAAACATGCAATAGTAATTATTTCTTGAAGGATAGTTCCACTATGTAATGTGATGGGGTTTGAAAGGATGTTTGCATCAGCCAGAAAAAAACATTCAGCTAATCACATACTTTTATATCTTGTCAACAGGTATTTTACTTCGGAACGTGCTAATAATTTAACAATCTTAACAATGTTTCTTCTTGGTTTTACTATGAAAGGATTAAACTACAAAATTATTATTCAAACGAAGTATGAATAATAATATTCAATATTAATAAGAAATATAATTAACCTCTCTTTTCGAAATGAGCGATTCGTTTAATTTTATACAAAAATATTGATTTCCTAAACAATTATATTTAAAAATATTTCTGGAGAGATGAAGTTCCTTTAGACCCCTTCTGGCGACATGCTTGTTTCCCGATTTTATAAACTGTTATCATTCTTTTATGTCTAATATAAGCTGTGGAATTTTATCAATCATACTAAATTGCTTGGTAAGATAAAATAGTTTAATTTAGCACTCATGATGCTTCATCATCCAACTAGTATATTTAGAATTTCGCCCTTCAATTAACCTTTTAAAAGTTAATTTTGTAATATTTCAAAAACTCGATATAAATTTAATACATTGAATTCTTTATTAATTTATTTTTAATCTAAATTTAATTAATTCCTAAAAATGGCATCAGTTTCAGATTTGAATAATTAGTTTACTTTTAATAGGTCTCTCATGTTGGGAACTAATTGATTTTTCTCATATGTAAGTCACAGAGCACAGACTTGGGGGTCAAGTGAGTGAGAGGTGAAATAATAAAAAAGAAGAGAGCCTCTCAAAATGGGCCCCCCCAAAATTTCTAAACCCTCTCGAAATGAATACCCTAAAATATTTTGATGGTGCAATTTTCAAGTCCATTGCAATTGGCTACGTGAAGTCACCAGATTGTACAAGATAGTGTCTCATGAGGTGGTGCAGGTCTTGGTAGGAGGAATGCCTCTCGACCTGCTGCTGAGAGAAGACTATTTTGGAGGTACAAGGTTAGACGAGAATGGGTAGTGGATCTACCCAGTACCTTTGAGTCAGAATAGAAGAAGACTTTAGGAGCTGTACTGGCAGTGGTTGCCACTCCAAAAGCGGCAACCCAATGAAAGTACTTTTCCACCATCGGATCTTGGCTTGAAGCAACTTGGTCCTCCCAGACTATTGAATCTCATGGGACATGGGAGATTCCGAGCAAAGCTAGTTCTTTTTGGTATAAACATTGATCCCATATGTCTAAATTTTAGGATATCAAACACTACTAAGCGTAGTTTTCTTTCCTATGCCGCCTATGAGTCACTCAGGGCCAAGCTGTTGAAGGAAACAGGCCTCAATTTCCTTAAGGAAAGGAATCTCTCTTAACTAATGACTAAAGACAACTTCCAGTTCTTTAAAACCGTAGAAAGGTGGAAAGAAGTGATTGCATCAACCCACATTTCTCTTGAAAGAAAAGGAGTTGCACCAGATAGGCCATCGAAATGAGGAGGGAAGAAAAGAAACCTGAACACAAACAAAATGAAGTATGAAGCTAAAGCAGAGAAAATTGTAAATTGCTTTAAAAATGCAGCAGTGAGTTGCTATGAATGGTAACATCCCACTACTGCAAATACTCGTATTGCCTTAGAGGTAGGGCAGGGTGGAATAAATAAACAATAAATAATAGCCTATTGGATCTTGTAAATATGCTCTGGTTTTTATTTTCAACAACGTACTGTTGTAATGACTTAGAAACATAAAATTAATTCTTCCCTGTCATTATATATTGTTCTAACTTATTTCCAAATTATATTACTGTTTGTTCACAGACTAATTTGCAATGTGCTTATATTATAATATGTCATTTGCATGGTATATGTTTATTTTATTTTTCAAATCCTTACAATTCTAAAACAAATGTTTGATACTAATGGTTTCAACATTGCAAAAAGAACCACGATAAGCCCACTTGCCAAACTAGTTCCCCCCACTAATACAAGTACCAATGATTTCAACAGGATTCATGGTTTTTGAAACAAAAGATTTATATCCATACCAAAGAAGTTAATCTAAACTCTGATATAGACTTTCTCCCAACTGTCTGTCATCAAACACTCAGATTCTAGTTAATAGATTTTTTTATGTCATGAAGTACAGGTTTTGTATGAGAATAAAAATACTTTTATTATTTTGCACAAAAATTTCATACAGCTTCTATCCATTTTATTCTTTCAATATTTTATCCTTAATTAATCACGAATATATGTTTAATATTTATTTGATATTTAAAGTCCTAAAGAAGGTAAGCAAAAAAAAAATTATTGCATACTGACCATTCTTTCAGCTTATTTCAAGTTTTTTAATGATTTACTAGCTTTGAAATAGGTTATACTAACTCCTACTGATGGGATCAGGACCTGTCTGCAATACTAAATAATTTTACATGTATTATTTATTCAATTTTAGATCAAAAATGTTTGTCGCCACAGCCATTGTTGTTGGCTTGCTTTGGTTCTTTTATAAAAATTGGGTATCAACCTACAGTTATTGGAAGAAGAGGGGTGTACCATTTTACCCAGCTAAGTTCCCTTATGGTAGTGATCCAAACTTAGTGAAATTTAAAGAATACAGAGGCTACACCGTTGATAAGGTACCAACATGCTGAATGTTATTATTACATCATGTTATTATTATATAGTTTTAAAAAATCAATAAAAACAATAATATTTTTCTAGATGTATCGTGAACTCGCTCCTGAACCAATGTTTGGAATTTTTGTTTTAAGGAAACCTATGCTGGTAGTAAGAGACCCAGAAATAATTCAGCATATTTTGACGAAAGAGTTTTCTCATTTCAGAGACAGGGGCATTATTAAACTGTAATAATTTTTGTTTTTCCTTTACTCCATTTCTGTGATTACTGCTTACTACTGATTACTATAGTTAATCTCAACCAAAAAAATTAACTTAAGTAAATTTTTTAACTAAAGATTGTATTTGAAAAAATTCAATATTTTTCAGGTCTGATAAAGATGTAATTAATCACCATTTATTCAATCTAGATGGAGAAAGGTGGAGAGCTTTAAGAATAAAACTTACTCCCACATTTACCAGCGGAAGGCTGAAAACTATGTTCCCCCTTTTTGTTAGTTGTGCTGAGGTATATTTTGTCTTTATTTATATTATCTATGAAGTTAATAACACTCCAATGAGAAATGTGATATAACTAAGGTGACCAGATTTTAACAATTGATCGAGGGAGGAGATGAGAAGGATTGTCCAAATTTGTTGTTACAATAATTAATTTTACACAATGATACCAGGTTATCATTATGTAAAATTAATTGCAAGTGTTAATCAGATGACATAGTATTCAGCTGAAATAAAGTTGTGAATTTAGTTCTAAAGGAGTATTTTTAAAAGCAAATAATTTGATGTTGTATTAGACATCTAAGTTACGACTTCAATAATTAAAGTTTTTAAGAATTTAATGTTTTGTGGCAGCAGTTTATACACAATCGAGCGGCTCTTTTTCAAAATGCTATAAAATTTATTGAAGGTGACAACATTCGATAATCGGAGTAGCAAATGAAGTTGATCTGCTGATGTTAAAGATTTTATCTTTTCCTTATCAATATATATTTTAAATAACGATATCTTATTAAAAATATTTTCTGGTTGTTTTTATTAAGTCCAAACAATGGTGGTTGAATTATAATAACTGATCAACAATGCGAACTTTGCTAAACAGTTCTCGATAATCAGTTCTCAACAATTATTTGGTATTATTAAAGTTTAACATTATAAAATTAACAAAAATAATATAACACTTATATCTTGGCAAAATAGCTACATGGCTGCCCAAAACAGTATGTTCTTTTTCCATTCTCCAGCCGCTCTCTAGCTTGCCATGCATTCTTTTAAAAAATCAGGACTTTTTCAACATGCCGCGAGACAAGGGACAAATTGTAAAATATCGGGACTGATCCGCCAATAGCAGGACGTCTGGTCACCTTAGGTATAACTGCAAAACCACAATTTTTCAGTTAAAAATCTTTAATGTAACATTTAAAACTATTCATTCAATTCATCATTCTTTTATCTATAGACATATAGTTTTCTGTTTTGTTTCTTTTAATTCTTTTTGTAACTAAATTGAATGCTGTATATATTTAATCTATACTTTTCTAATGTTTAAAATCTGACCTGGGTCTGTGAAATTCCAAATTAGTCCATAATAGTTTTACTGACTAATCATTTGAAATATTTAATTGTTTTTCTTTTAAAATGAAATACTACCATACAGACTTCAGAAGATTATTACGCTTAACAACTTATTGAGAAAATCTATTGGAAGTAATTAGGAGATGCAAATATAATTGAGGATATGACTGCAATAAGGACTAATAGTATCATTGAACCTTTTTTGATAAAACTTTTTAATCTCTCCCCTAATGATTTAAGAGGGTTGTGTAAAAATTTCGCTTTGATAAGTCTATTAGATAAAAAATAGGATTTTTTTTTTTAACTGTTCTTACAGGACCTTGCACTTAGTATGCCTGTCTTATTTATATAAATACTTATTTTTTGCTTTTGTTTCATGGTAACATGCTGTAGAATCGATCAGAGTTGTAGCAATCAATAAAATACCAATTATGTGTTAACTATTTTATCAATTATACATTAATTTTAGGCAAAAAAAAAAAAAATGAATTTATGCCAGATGGGCCTCAATCAATTAATCCACTATTAAACATAGAAATTACCAAATATTTATATATTTGGTCATATTAATGAACAGTTGATCAAAAGGTAGGAAGTCAACAGAACAGTATATAACTAATAGAAAATTATGTACAATTCCTTAAAAAAAAAACTTCATCGTTCATAGCACTACTGCAAGTTTTGGAGTAATGTCCATAATTGCAGCCACATCCTTAATTGAACCAATAAAAATATTTTTTTAAAAACTGTTAACTACTTAGAAGACACTATATTATTATTTGTTTATTGTTTACAGAGTTTTAGCTCCCTTTTGCTGTCAAAAGTTGATTCAAAAGTCGATATTAAAGAGCTAACAGGTCGTTTTACAGCAGATGTCATTAGTAGCTGTGCATTTGGCTTGGATACTGATGTTATAAACCACCCAGATAACAAGCTTAGAAATATAGGAATAGAAGGAATAAAATTAAAATTTCTAATGAAATTAAAAATAGCTATTATTAGATTATTGCCAGGATTGTCATCATTGTTACCAATTAGGTATTTTATCTGGTTCATATTTATCAATTCATGAAAGTTATAATTAAATATGGTCTATTCCACAATAGAAAAAGTGCTTTTCTTCGGTTGAGATGATTTGTTCAAACTTAACATTCAACATTAGTCACTATTTTTTGATCTTTGATTCAAAAGCAGCAACCTCTAAAAATATTGCCATCCCATAGTCAGCTTCTAAGCAAAGAAAATTGGTAGAAAAAATTTTTATTGAGCTGTGTAATTTCTGGGACAAGAAATTGAATATATAGTATAGATACATCACTTCTTTTGACAGAAAAATGCTATTCTAGCATTATATTTTTAATATAATGTATAGAATTATTCAATTATATATCTGTTACATTTGCTGCTTTCAATTGAGCATTTTTATATAAAAAAACCATCAATCTACATATGACTAAAATCGTACTAAGTACATCATTTGGATCAAGAAGAGCCATTCTACAGTTTTTAGTAACCAACCAAGCTTGAGTTAAAGTCAATCAAGTTTTAGTTAAGATCAACCAAGCCACCATATAAACTAAATATTTTTGTGAGTTTGTGGGATTATTAGAATGGTACTTAATTTTAATTTGGTTTAATGGCATGTAACAAACTTATCCAATTTTTAAAGTATTCTAAAAGAAAATTAATCTCTTTAGAAAAATTAGTCCTTGTCCTAGTTATATGTTTGCTACATTTATACAAAACATTCTTGATTAAAAATCTTAATGTAATAATAATAGAATGTTCAGAAAATCTTAAAGATTGACACTTGCCTCCTTATCTCATACACTGAACCCCATCAAAGCTCATTTCTCAATTCTCAATTTATGACTCTCACTTAGGTCTTAGTTTACCCCCTTAGAAATTTAACCATTGGTTTAGCACCAATTATTATTTTAGGAATTTCTTCATTAGTAAGCCTCACATCTTTACAACAAATATAATAGTTTTGTATATTCTTGTTTTCATGTTTTTAAAAAAGGCAGGCTAAAACGAGCAATAAACTTTATTAATAGATTATTATAATTAGTTTAATTTTCTATTAAAAAGTATTTAAAATTTAAATAAAAAGTCCCTTTTGTGTAAAACTTACTGAAATGTTTCTTTCATTCAGGTTCATTTCTGTAGAGGACGAAGATTACATCATAAAGCTCATTAAAAACATAGTGGAACAAAGAGAAAAAAATGCTATTGTAAGAAATGACTTCATAGATTTGTTAATACAATTAAAGAATAAAGGAAATCTTGGAGATGATGGACAGGAATTTGAAAAACCATTTGGTATAGTGATTTTATCATTCTTTAATTTTTGTTCTTGGTAAATATAATTAGTTATAAATTTTGTGACATCTTAATTTTGATAATCCTTACACTTTTATATTAAATCTATTTTGGATTGTAAATGGGCTCTTAAGTCTATCTGGTTTTAACCAGTAATATTTTATGATTATTCAATTTAAACAGTAAGACTTATAAATTTTAATTATAATAAACATTTAAGTTATAATTTAAATTTAAGAATGTCTCTCATCAAATTTATACTAATTTCAGTAATCCTTTTATGATTTAACATTTTTGGAACAACTGTTCATAAACCTTATAATAATCAACAATAATAAAAATATTGTTGATTTGTGCTTTGGAATATTTTACAAAGTATTTCAGAATTATAGAAAACTCCAAACCTTTGTACTAGTTCAATTAATATTTGTTAATGAAATCTTTGGGATTGGGAATGAATACAATCAGGCCCACTTGCCAGATTATTGCTCATTTAAAATTATATGGCAACATGGAAATAAGAACAGTCCGCCTGAATAAAAAAAGTCTTCTGCCGTCACAAACTCAATTGACCTAAACAACAGTTGGACTATAAATGACATGTTTGTTTGAATTTCTCTCTAAATTTGAAAATTTGTTTGAAAAAATGAATGAAAAGAAGTATTAATAAATAAATGGGAATTCATAAATTTATTTTTGAAAATATTTACATTAAGTGCATTTTGCTTGGGATTTGATCTTAGCCAGATTATCGCCTCGCATATCATTAATCAAGAAATAATTTCTTACCGAATGCTGTAACCAAGTTTATTCATGGAAATCCATTATAGTTTATTCACTTAAAATATTAACTAATTCAGTGAACAATGAATCAAATGAACATTTATTCTATAGAACAAGGTATTGATTTTCAAAACTTAAAGGAATAAATTTTCATTATTTTTAGAAATGACAATGGAGTTAATGGCAGCCCAATGTTTTGTCTTTTTTATTGCTGGATTTGAGACCTCTAGTTCAGTGCAAAGTTTCTGCCTCTATGAACTGGCACTCCACCAAGATATTCAATCAAGACTAATTAAAGAGATTGATGAAACAATAGAGAAGAATGGTTCTCTTACTTATAAGGCTGTGCAGGAAATGGAATATCTTGATATGGTCATATCAGGTAATTGAAAATAAAACGTACATAATTTAAAATAATTTTGAATAATTTTTATACAGGATCCCTGTAAATCCTAGGAAATATTTTAAAAGGTGGTAGTAGTCCTTAGAGATAAGAAAAATATTCATATGAATTATGATCCAATTCCAAACAGAAAATTTTAATTTAAATTTTGTGTCAAGTATTTGAGTTACGTTTTTCTTAGGAAGCGATGACTATTTTAGTTTAGTAATTTTTACTATAGTATAGAAAACTTGACCAACTTTTCTGCAAAAACAAGCAGAACTTGTATGCATTAAAACCATTAGAGAAATACCATAAAGATATATCTTGATTAAAGGTTTTGAAACTCAAAGCAATATTCTAAACTAAAAAGCGTAATATATCTAATACTATGGACTGATCACTGGCACATCGTAATGTATCAGTGTCCCCACTCTCATGACATAGCTCTGTCCTCACTACTTTTCTTTAACACTAATTATCTTTCCAAACATGCATCAGAAAGTTCAGGACTTTTTGTGTTTTTATTTTTATGACTTTATCTTCAATGACGAAAACAAATTTAAAATCATGCAAGTAGCCGATTTTTCTAAAGCTTTCATTTATTTTTTTCTGAGACTTAAAATATACTGTAATAAGTTAATTACGAAAATACATCTTTTATTTTGAAAAAATATTATCATAAACTGATCTTTACCATGAGATGGTGTGAGATTCCTACTTAAGATTGCCTCCATACACCTTAGTCTTCCATCAATCGTCTCCTCCCTTCCCAGGTTAGATTCTTCTTACTGAATCTTTCCTTAATGCGAATCTCCAATGTAATTCTTGACCTACAATTAACAGAGAATAGGACCATTCTGTTCTGCCATTTTCACACTTTAGATCATGTCTTGAGTTATAATATTAAGTTATGAGGATTTGGAGATGGTACTGAATCCCAATTGTTTATTGGAGAATTTCATGTGTTTTTGTCAATAAATCAGTCAATGTATGTTAAAAAAATAAAACAGAACTAGACCCAAGAAAGATATTGGGTTCAGAATTATTTAGGAAGCACTGTTTGTAGGATAACAACTGTTTTGATTACCACTGACTCGAGCTATGGGTTGATCCAAAGTTTATTCCAAAGAACTAGCAGAATAGAAACATAGCTTCGTACTCACTGGGTTACCCTGCTCCTTCAATGAGACTTGTCCTTCTACAACCTACTAAATACATATGTTTTATATTTTTTTAACTGTTGTAGATAAGATTTTTATTTAATTAAATATTAATAATTTACTGAAAGAATTCTGAGACATTGGCACATTATTTTATCTGTTGATCTCAAACATAAAAATATCTGCATTTTTTTCCTATAAAAATTGTAAATAAAATGTTGTATCAGGTAATTCAATGGTTCAAAATATAAGTACATAAAAAGTATCAAAATAAACTTTTTTTTATTATAGCAACCTACCATTTAACCTATTTAGATGGTGGTGTATGTAATATGATTGAAATATTAACTTGTTGTAATTATGCAAGAAATAAAACAGCTATAATATTTGAAGTAAATATACAAAAATATTTGTTTCATTGATGTACTTCATTCTCACTTTACTTTATATAATATTATTATTATTATTATGGATTTCTGTCTTTCATTCCAGAAACATCAAGGAAGTACCCAACTGTACCAACATTAGTTAGGCAGTGTACAAAATCAGTAACACTTTCTACTGGTCAAAACATAGAGAAGGATACTATGATCATTATTCCTGTTTGGTCTTTGCACCATGACTCCCAATACTTTATGGATCCTGATAAATTTGACCCAGAAAGATTTTCAAAAGAAAACAGAGATTCTATTGTTCCTTATACTTATCTGCCATTTGGTGAAGGTCCTAGAATGTGTATTGGTAAGTGCATGATTACTGGTGTAATTATCATATATTAAAAATTAAATTATATATGAATTATTTGACCCTAGTTTCAATAAAAGAGATGATGATCAGAGAATAGAGGTATTTCTTATAGGTTAACAACTTTAAAATGAGCAAGATGGGATACAATTTTTTTAGAATTTTTTTTTAAAAGAAAGTAAAATGATTTAAAAGGAATACTTATTTTCTCAAATTTCATTTTCTGAAAAAAATCTACAAATTAGCAAGAAGAAAAGTACCCTGTTGAAGCAGTTTAAATTATTATTTTACTTACTTTCTTGGCTCTACAGTTCTTGTAGAACCATGGCCGCCACAACTAAGCCTCTCCAAATATTCCCTATCAGTGATTCCCATCTTCTACACAACATCCTCCACATCATCAATCCATCTCAGTCTGAATCTTCCTCGCCTTCCGCCTCCTAGTTTGCCATATAATAGTTTATTATTTTATATTGACATAAAAAGGTAACTTATATCTTACACCCTGCTCACCGGATCCATCAGAGCTTTCAGTATGTAGATTCTCCCAAATAATCCCACAAAGTCTCAAAACTTTTGGAATTATGTACTAAAAAAAGCTAATTTGTTTGGAATAATAGTCCGTTTTTATAACAATTCATGTTGTAACTCTAAAAATCCTCTTTAAAAGTCAGTCAGCTCCACAACTTGAGTGTGAAAAGCATTTCAGTAAATTAAAATGATATTGAAATTAAAATAACCAGTATAAAATTTACTAATATTTCTATAATTTACTAATATTCATTCAATTCCATGTTTATTATTTTATGTATTATAATATATTTTTTTATAACACTCTTTCCGGCCTAATATCTAGAATGTGTAATATGTTGGTGATCTTTAATTAATATATTGCACATTCCACCAACTATTATTATATTGCATGTATTTTATTGTAGTCGACATACTGTTTTATATATAATTATTATTAAATAGGTATGAGATTTGGACTACTCCAAACTAAGGTGGGAGTTGTGACTCTCCTTCGAAAGTTTCGTGTCGAGCCATGCGAAGAAACCAACATCCCTCTTGTCATTGGAGGAAATTCTGCTACCACAGCATCTGATAAACCTATTATTATTAAACTGATAGCAAGATATTGATAGTTGTCATTTGTTATTTTACAGCTCAATATGTAATTTTATTATACTGATAGCAAGATATTGACAATGTTGTCATTTGTTATTTTATAGCTCAATATGTAATGTTATTATACTGATAGCAAGATATCGACAATGTTGTCATTTGTTATTTTATAACTCAATATGTAATATTATTAAACTGATAGCAAGATCTTGACATTGCAAAGTGTTGTCATTTGTTGTCTTATAGTCCAATATGTAAAATTTATCCAAGAAAAATCTCTGTATATATTACAATGCTCATTGTATTTATTATAATCCATCATATTATATTGTGGGGTAGCGAGGTGGTGGTCACATCGCCCTCTCATTTTACCGTAGTCAGCCACTGGCCCTCCAGGTTGGGGGACACTTACACTCACACACCAAGGACACTTTATTCAGCACACTACAACACCCAAACACTACAAAGGTCACCTACAGTACACACCCTAAAAAAAAAAAGTACACACCCTAGGATCACCTCCCCTAGGTAGCTGCCCCGGATGCGGGAGCCAGTCTGGGATCTACCTAACTCAGGGGCCGTGGGCTGATAATCCAATCCCCCCTAAAGTACTTTATTACAAAACCTACAAAAAAAGAAGCACTTCAAAGACTCATTAGACTCACGGAATTCTATGGTATCCCCGGATGAGGATGAAATGGAAAACGCTCTAAGAAAATTGAAAGGCACCAGACGGAATCCAGTCAGAGCTCTTGAAATGTGGTGGTAAAGAACTGAGGAAAGCTCTGCATGACTTAATGCCCACCATCAGGGAGATGGAAGGTATGCCTACGGAATGGGCAACAGCCATTATCTGTCCAAAACATAAGAAAGGAGATAATACAGAATGAACTAATTATAGAGGAATTGTGGGTTTATAAGCTGCTCTCTAATTATTTTTGAGACGATCCTCCCAGATGCGGAAAAGGAACTCAATGCCTGAGAAATATCAGGCTGGATTTCAAGGAGGATGCTCAACCATTGATCAACTATTCTCTCTTAAAATGATCCTAGTAAAGAGTAGGGAGCTAAGCATCCTTCAGAAGCTGCTGTGCTATCCTAATCAAGATGACCATGGACAGCTCAAAAAGTAAAGTACATGTCAGTTTTGATGCCTCTAAAGAGTTTGAAGTGAACAGTGGTGTTCGGCAGAGGATACCTTCGCCTGCCTATTATTCAACTTGGCATAAGAGAAAGCTGTAAGAGAGGCCGGTATTCAGACCAGGCGACATAATCTTTGATTGCCTGATACAGGTTCTTTGTTTTGCTGTTGATATTGATATTATAGGAAGAAGGGGCTCTCAGAGGAGCGTTTACAGCCCTTGAAGCAGCAGCAAGAAGACTTGGTCTAGAAGTCAACGAGAAGAAATTAAGTACATGAGAGTTGGTGGTGAAGTGGATCTAAACTCTCTATTTGTGTAAATATTTTTCAATTCAATGATACATTATTACCATTTGTCATTCCCTTTATGTTGTCTTCTATTTCACTCTGTTTATACTGAATTCAATTGCTATTTGTCATTTCTCACTCTCTAAAATAGATCTGTAACTTGTACAAATACCATAATATCATGCACAAATTTAACATCAACTCTTATTTTAATTTTTTGTAATTTGAATATAATAATAACTTTTTGTATTTTGGATTTTTAACCCTGATGAAACAAGCAACTTTAGTCAAAAGGTGGGCTATAAATAAATATTACACAAAAATAATGCGTGATTGACCATACGAAAATCACAAACATTGTGATCACTTCAACACAGCTCCTTCTATCCACATGAATTTAGGACCCTATAAAACACATGAAATGGCATAAAGCAGACTTTTCTGATTACATTAGGTTAGTGGAAATAAAGTAAAAACGTTTGGGGAGTTTTTCATTCTTTATTCCTCATTAAGGCATAAAATCTAAAAGTCATAGATATATATTTGAAGAGCAATAATTTAGCTTTCTAATGGTTATAGTAACATTGACTTAGGAGAAACACATGAGGAGTAAAAGCCCGAAAGCCACTTAGTGATATGGTCGATAACGACGGTCAATGAACGCTAATTTTTACCGATATTGTAAAAATCTGCGAAAGATTACTAAAAAGGCCGTGCAGCTTGGAAATGAGTTCTCTAAGAAAAAAAACTCAGAATAATTTCCGATTCCGATTAAATCGGAGACCAAATAATTAGTAGATTCCTTCATGAAAATGTTCCCAACAGCAGCTATTTTAATAAAAGAACAACACTTTCTAATGAGAAATATAAAAATTATTATCGTGACCAGTTTTCTGAATCGCATGGATTCTTCAAGGAGACTATAGTTGCTGAAGGTTGCAATGCGTCCAGATCTATTGGAACTGAGTAAAAACTGGATCCGGAAGAAAATCCATATTTTCTTATGCTCAATAAAAGGTTGTTTAAAAGAATAGATGACGTTCATTTTTTAAAATAAATTTTCCTCTATCATGTATTTCACCTGCGAGAGTCAGTTCTGAGTCACTAGTGATATACTGCGAAAGGAGCACAAGCCTTCCCATCTCATGGGGACCCAAAAACTCTTTTCTTTAAATAGCTGTTTTTGGGATCTTTTTTTCTACCATTCAGAGAGGGAAGCGCCCCCTGGCAAAAATCACTAGTGCTGGTCACGATAGTAACTTTTTTTTATACTACATTAGAAAATTCGTCTATGAGGATGAATTTTTCCTATATTTCTCCTTTCGTTAAATAGGTGTTTTTTGGACATTTTTTTCACCATCCGAGGGACGGCGCCCCCCTGGCAGAACTCGCTAGTACTGATCACGATAGTAATTTTTTTTTATATTACATTAGGAAATTCGTGTATGGAGATGAATTTTCCCTACATATCTCTTTTCTTTAAATAGATGTTTTTTTTTTTTTGTTTTTTTTTCCGCTATTCAAGGGATGGCGCGCCGCCTATTCGAATTCGCTAGTGCTGGTCACGAAATGATTTTTTTTCTATATTACATTAGGAAATTCATCGTTTATGAGGATGAATTTACCCTATATTTCCCTTTTCTTTAAATAGCTGCTTTTTAGAACTTTTTTCAAGCCCTCAGGGAAGGGGCGCCCCCCTGCTGGATCCGCTAGTACTCAGCGGTAACAAAGATGACCGGATTAAGTAAAGTAAGTTGTTACGTAGATGTTACAGCAACTTTTCTCTTAAAATCGGCAAACCGGAAATGCCACCGGAAATACCAACCGTGAAACACATTTTTACAATTTTCTCAAAAACGGCTCCAGTGATTTTGATTAAACTCGGTGAAGCATTGTATAATTAAGTGGTTTTTAATATCATTTAGGCCTTATCCCCGTTGACGTCACTTTACAGGGCTTAAATGGCCAATGTTCATACACATCTTTCTCTAAAGTACCTATAATATGGTTTATTTAAAAAAGTTAACTCTCTTTTATTGACAGACACTATGAAATAATGGCTAAATATGAAGTTTGAAAGAATATGATAACTGGAACCTGAAGGAAAAAAAATGCTTATCCAGGTTGAACATGAATCTCCGGAAATACTAGTCAGAAGGTATACGTATAATATATCGTTGAAAAGCTGAGAATTTTAGTAAAAACAATATCTAATATAGAAATTCTAACATATCTAAATTCTAATATCAACTTTCAGAAAATAATGTCAAATAAATAAAGTTGTTGAAGGTAATGCGGAGTTTTAAAAACTGGACTAAGCTTAGTGTAACCGTTCAAAAGCCACTTCAAATGATTTTAACAGTGATAAACTCTCCTTTCGTTTGAAGTAAATTTGTTTTTACTGGGAATCAACTTATAATTACTTAAATTATATATCTGTTTCGTAATCGCTTCGTTTTGTTTTTCGCGGAAAATGGGATCATTGTTTATATAAACTTTTTTGTACCTCTTAAACTCCGCAATCGCCCTTTTAAATATTTCTCTCTACCTACCGGACACCCTGTGTTTGGGTATATCTATGGCAACAGTGCAATGTTCTGAATTTTGGTGAACGTATCACCAGAAAGTTAATTTTTGTTTATTTCTTTGTATCTAATGGGCAATTTAAGTTATGCGGCAATTGCAAATATGGATATTCCTTTGTGAATCATGGGTTGAAACTCAAAAATTGAAGTTGCACCTGTGAAAATATCAAACTTTCAATTATGTTTTTTTTTCGAAAATATGATTTTTGCACTTAACAAAAATCATGGTGGCTCACCAAAAATACCGTGGACATAAAAAATAAAATTCAAATCTGTTATTTTGGGGGCCAAATAAATCACCGTAATAGAAAAATATAAGAGGATGATTTTGGGTGCCCTCGGCGATCGCCAACTAGTTTGGCTAGACAGTGTCTGTCGACAAAACCCATATAATGAAAAACTATGAAAATATGAAGGTAGCCATAATGACTGAAATATGAAAAAAATTTCTGTTGCTAATTTAAAAAACATTTTGAATTCATACTATCAATTTCTATATAACAACTGTGTTTTCACAAAACGAATCTGGCTATTTTCACCTTGTGACAAAATAATCTCGTTTTAACAATATAAAAGATATAGCAATATTGTTCTGGGAGCGATTCAGCGTTACTCGTGAACAATTATCTGCTGTCTGTAATATTAGAATTCTAGGAATAATCTCATCACATTTTTTATTTCTTGAATGAGATTTCTATATCTTTTCCAAGTTTGTGGTAAGGATAATAGAGTTTTAGAGTTTAGATTAGGCAAGATATGAGAAAATCGAAGCGTATTATCGATGTTAATAATATTACTTCAATCGATAGATAATCTTAAATTGATATTGTTACAATAATTGCTAGGGAGATGCATCCACTTGTTAAAAAGATCTTCGTCTAGTCCGAGAAGCAGATAAAGATACTCGAGGTCCTTCGCTATCTTCTCTTCTACTTAAGGCTAAAAATATCTATGACTAATATGATATAGATGAAAATATCGATATTTTTTATCTGCAGTTTCC